TTTGCACTGAGAAGCTTCCACCATACTTTAAGTTCCTCTCCTCTTCTTCGTGTCCATTGCTTCTCATATATCTTCTCACTATGCTAAGTTTTTTACATAGGCCAGTACTTTATATTCAACCATATAATTTTTTTGAGGGGGGACTTTGATATGAGAGGTATTTGTCTGTGCTGTATGGTATTACGCTTAACACTTTAAATAAACAAATTCTTACATAGTATGTAATTCTTTGCATTAATTACAGAAAGCATTAACGTGTTAGAAGATATTGCTCAAGTCGAATCAACTGAACTTTATTGATTCTCAAAATATTCTTGCTTGGTTATTGTTATGAATATGGAATTAAAGTTAGTATAGTATTCAGTCAAAAATAATGTATTTATACATTATCAAATCTTATGTTTATTATTTTGGAATCCAAGTTAAAATAAATCTGAAATTAGCTAAAATAAAGAAATGAAATTCGCTAGTTATTGTTATTGAAACAGAATTAGATAGAAAATTTAATTTTTAAATTTGCTATTACTATTTTAATAAATTGGTGTAGCGGGAATTTAAGCATTGAGTTTACAAGTTAAAAAATTCATTAATCTAAGTATAATATTCAAAGATGAGAAATCTAATCTTAATCAGGAGGAATTTCCTCTATGATTATATAACGCATATAAATATTTATTGCGATTTGCAAAAAGATGTAGCCGTTCAAAGAAATATAAACATAACTAATTGAAAATATAAAATAACAGATTTTAGAAATTTTTCCTAATCATCATCACAAAAATCATGCAGTTACAAGCCACAATAATCGATTTATTAATCTATTACTTTATATTATGTAAAAGAACATTATCGCCCAACATACTTCTATGCAGATACAATTAATCTAAAATTTAACCAACCTACTCTAACCTTTAATCTCACTCTAACCTCTAAACTAGCCACTAACAATAATGCTTTACATTTTAACTCGTAGCGATACCCTATTTTAAAAAATTTTAAAAAATTAATATATATATATATTTATCTTTTTAGCTTTAATTTTAATTAATACTTACTAATTCTATTAGTCAAACTGTCATTTTTAATCGACTCCACAAATATTTCTAATTTCAACAAATGTTATTCTAATCGGTATTGTGTAGCTTTTTTAATATAACTAGGAATATTTGCTTGCCAATAAAATAATTGCTGATTTTCATGTTCTAATATTTCTAGAATTGCTGATTTTCTAGACTGATCATGTCCACCATCTTTTAATGTATTTTGAAAATATCGACATACTTGAATATAGTTTTTTTTTTCTAAAGCTGAACATGAAAAAGCTATTAATCCTAAATCTCTATGAATCTTAATAAATTCGGGAATATGATAGGTTAAAACATGCATATATGGAGTACAATCTGTTGCTTGATATAGTCCTCGCACAAAATTTTTATTTGGATGTCCTTGAGATGGAGTTAAAAAATATTCTAACCATTCAATTGCTTTTTTTTTAAAACTACTACCACTTATTTTTTTTTGATGCAAATCATCATATAATTCAGCGAATTTATTCCAGAGTTTTCTAAGTTGATTTTGTCTAACTATTGGTAAATAACAAATACTAATATTCTTAAAATTAAAATTATGTAAGAGTTTAAGTTTGTTTGGACCCATCAAAGATGTATTACATAATTTTTTAGTATTTTTATCTGTCCAAAATTGAAATGTTATACCAATTCGTTTCATTTCTACTAATATTTCTTGCTGAATTTTATTATCTAACTTTCCATTTCGTTGCAAATCAGATAAAAATAGTTCAAAAAGTCGATCTGTAATGCGAAGCAATATATGTAGCTCATCACACACCCAATATTTAAGATCAATCATATCGAATAAAGGTGCACATTGATGCCTTCTAATATTAAAAAAATTTTTTTTTATTTGTTCCATATTTTTGGTAATTGTCCAATCGCCAACTAGTTTATTATTTTGATCAAGAATTCCATTTTGCTGTTTCATATATGTACACTATAGACAAAAATAATTCGCGTTTTCAGAATTAAATCCTAAACAAGTAACTAAAAACTTCCAATCTGCGCTAAAAAAAAGTTCTACATTCCAATGCAAGCTATTAAGTTGGTAAAATCTGGATTCTCTTAAATTGTTTAAATCAAAAATTAATGTGCAAAGTGCATTTTGAAGAGATTGATAATTTTCTGATCCAGAGTAAAGAACAAGTGTATGATACCCTTCAGACTTATGTAGTCTTTCTATATCATTAAGTATTATAGCCATTACCATAACATGCTGAATCTTTCGTCCTATATTCCTACTATCTCCAGATATACGAAGTTTAATAGTAGTATTATTTGGAATTAAAAGTCTTTTTTTTATATACTCAGATACAATAAAATTTAATATATCAATTATAGAACGCTGTTCACCTTTTCCAGCAGATTCAACTATATTATTAACTATGTCAGGATCATTAATATGAGGTTGATCTTCAGTTAATTCAGAAGCAACAAATGTTTCTTCTATATTTATAAGTAATAAGGGAACTAGATTTTGCATTTGTTTATTAAGTCTTTGACGTGTACTTGATATTGCACCCTCTCTTGGCAAATCTTGATTAATACGTGCTAATGATTGATAAGCTTCACGAAATATCTTGCCTTTATCTAATGATTTTAGAACTGCCAAATGCAAATCATCTATCTTTTCTTGGTTAACTTTTTCATATTGAATTTCAAATAGCTTATCATTTATAGTAAAACGTGCTTGCTTAATTTCAACTTTATCATCTTTATGAAAAATGTTTTCTTTACAAATTTCAACTTGATCAAATACAAGTTTGGCTATTGTCAACATATGATGTCGTTGAGTAGAATTACTAAGATTGTTAAAAGGTTGAACTTTAAGATAGGTATTGGATGGTAACATTTTTCTAACTATACGAACAAAATTTAATTGTAATCCAAACAATTGTACACCTGATATTCGAATGTCTTTCTTTTTATTCTCATTTTTATTAATCGTATTTGCATTTATTTCTTGAATATCTTCACTTGACAAAGTTCCTTTATTTTTTAGCCTTTTAAAACTCTTCAAAGATATTAATTTTTTAATACAATAATGCTAATGCTAATAAATTTTTTTAAAATTAATTATATTTACCTTGCAATATTTAGCTGCAGCGTCTGATAGAGATTTTGTTGAATAAACCATGTATTTGTCAAACTGTATTACAAAATATGGCTTGTCATTGATATATTGGATAGAGCATTCTGTGATATATTTTTTTTTCCATATGTTGTGCGAACAATATACTGATCAGGAATAGCATATTGCTCTAGTTTCTTAGTATATGCAAGTTTATGTAAAGGAGAATAAACACCTTCATTTATAATTATATAGTCCCATTATCTATGCGTGCTTTTAAAAAAAATATGCGAGTCTTTAGGATATGCACTTATTTCTTCTCCCTTCATGACTGTTAAATAAAAAAGTATGTATGCACATACAACGTTTATTACATTGGGTTAATATAGTACGTACATTCATATGTAATCAAGTAATTAATCATATGAATTAAGTATAATTGGCCATTTTGTAGTTAACATACGTACAGTACATATCTTTAAAGACGCTTAACTCCTTGGTTATATGATCAAGATATATTTAAGTATTTTTTTTTTTTATAATCTTCGATCAATGCTTTTTTTCCTTTTTAAATATGCTAGTACTATACTTTCCTTAGAGTCATCATATATTGGTATTGTCAGTTAGAGACATCATATTTGGTGTTGTCACTAAGAGTCATCACTTGTCGGAGTTTCTATTCACACACTTGTATTGTTACTTGGTGTCGTTGTATACTATCATCGTACTGTTGAAAATCAAGTTTTTTCTTTACATTGTAGTGAAAATGCCTTTGTAGAAATATTTGGTAAATATCTTATATGATATTCTCCATGTGGCAATTTTTATCAATATTATTTTAGTGGAGACAATTCATATAATATATTAACAAATATTTTTAATGATGCTATGTGGGGAGAACAAGATTATGGTAATAGTCAACTTAGTTGGGTTAAATTAGTAGACGAAATGAATTGTAACTCTCGAACTGAATTATATATTGAATGGACTATGAAAGGATTTTATGATATGTCAGGTCATAATTGTTACGCTAGAAATGTAAAATTGAGATTTTTAACTGATAATGCAATGTTTAACTAATAAAAAATTATATATTTCATTTATTAAAAATATTGAATCAATAAGTTTGTTTAAACATTAATTAAAATATTTCTATTTGTACTATCTAAAGTATTATAAGAACAGTAAAGTTATAATAATTGTGTACTATTTCTATTACTTAATTATTATATTTGAGAAGATATTCATGAACTTGAATAATTTATTCTAAATAATGGTAGCTACATTTTTTTTATTTGTTCCATATTTTTGGTAATTGTCCAATCGCCAACTAGTTTATTATTTTGATCAAGAATTCCATTT